AACAACGTACCTCTGGAAAAACTGCACCAAAACTAAGGGCTGCATGCCACGGGTGAGTTGGGATGTCCTTACGCAACCGAGAACTGAGAGAGGTTTATGGATATTAGATCCAGAAAGGGAAAGAGAAGCATTGATCTTCAAAGTTGTGGTCAGGCTACTAAAAGGAAACGACATCCCCTGGGAGCATCTAGTCTGTCTACAGATCGCCTACTTGGCGCTGGAATCGTCGGCGGTCAATAGACTGCACCCCTTCCAATGGCTAACTAGCAGAGACTGAACAACTACCCTCCCGCCCGCAACAAAGGCAGGCGAACAACCCGTGGCAAGCAGCGATACTAGACCTGCTCCTAGACCTCGTGTGGCCATACATGCTTAAGCTCTGGAGGAAGCGAGTGCTGCAGCAAAAACAGCCCCTGAACAAATGGCAAGATATATGGAGGCAACCCCTGTTTGGTAATCCCTCCATCGTGGATGAAAACACCAAGTTGAACCCCTTTAACCCCAAAAACAACTCCCCATGGCTCACCTGGGAGGCTGGGCAAAAAAGGGAATATACACAGTGGGGGACTTGCGGGACCCATTGTCAAATAAGTGGGCAACAACCAAACAACTGCAATTCAGGCTTAAGCATGCCAAGCCGGGTAGTGGCCCCGGTACTGCAAATTCTCAAAAATTTTCAAAATCCTATGTAATTTTCTATATGGGACGCTGGGCCCAGTTCCCAGCACGTCTTGCTCCCCACGAATAGATTGGAGCTTTGTGCCCTTAAAAAAAAAAAAAAAAAAAAAGATTGTGGGAGACAGGAAGACCGTGCTGAAAGAAGCCCTACCCGTTGCATGGCGACTCACCATCCAAACTGGTCGCATGGTCGGGGCTGACGACTGGGTCATTAAATTTGCAGACCTCCCTCGCCTGCTGACAGTGTTTAGAGTCTGCAGAAACGACAATGGGCAATGCACACTAGAAGCGTACGATCTTCAAATGCCACAATTATGCTAGGCGCCATATTCTCCAAACTCGCAGGAAATGTCAACCTAGATGGGACCGGAAACTGGGGGGGATTGATGCATGTTCGAGTCGTGGTGGACCCGCACGAAGACCTTTTCATATTTGAACCTACGATCCCGGTCACCAAGCTGCTATTTGACCCGGCAGAGTGGGAATGGCCTGGCACAAAACCTATGCATATATGGGACTACACAGTCAAAGGGGGCTACGGGGCCTCGAGGACCATCCCAATGATCGACCAAACATTTCCACCAGATGGGCATGAGACTCACCTTTGGACATGCAGATGATAGACAACCTGCCTTTGGCTAAGTATGCCAAGATCATGCCCATGAATTTGAGAGCCCTTCAATGGCAAATTGTCAATTGTCCCTCGTTTATGGGTGGGTCCTGCAGCCTGCAATCATCATGGTCACATGGCTATTCAATCAAACTGTTATGATGTTCGGGGACGCTGGACCCGATTTCCAGCAGGTGCTGCTCTCCACCAACAGAGGGAGCCCCCGAGAGTGCTAGTGTGTGCCTGCTCGTATCAGCACGCCGAGCATCAGCTTGGGCCGTTCCCCCCCCAAAAAAAAAAAAAAAAAAGAAGAACAAGAAGAAGATTGAAGAACAAAAGATTCTGAAGGAGGGCATAGAGAAGAAGAAGAATAACAACAACAAAAATAAGAAGTAGAAGACAAAGAAATTGAAGAAGAAGAAGAAGAAGAAGAGAAGTAGAATACGAAAGAAGAAGAAGAAGAAGAAGAAGAAGAAGAAGAAGAAGAAGAAGAAGGAAGAAAAGGAGGAGGAGGAGGAGGAAGAAGAAGAAGAAGAAGAAGAAGAAGAAGAAGAAGAAGTTCAAGAAGAAGAAGGAGGAGGGAGGAGGGAGGATAAGTTCCACACTGCAATCCTGGCAACGGATTTGTTCAGACCCGGGCCCTCAACTACCAAGCACGGAGTGTACTACCTCTCGAGTCTTTCAAGAGCAACTACCAAGCACGACTCTCCTCCTTCTCGCCCATCCAAGAGAGAGACGCCACCTGACCGCCATCTTTTTTCTTTTTTTTTTTATAACATCTGCGGGAGGTGCTACCCTGGTTGATACAAGCAGCCTGAGGTAGCACCTTCCCCAGATGGCTCCTTTCTATTGGTGGGGAGCTGCACCTCTGCTGGAGACCGGGTCCAGAGTCCCTTGCACAGCCGCCCCAAATCAGAGCAAAAGCCATACTCGGGCAGCATTGATTGCCGTCATTTGAAGGGATTGACTGCCCTTGTTGATTGACTGTCACACCACAACCGCGAGAGATCCATCCAAACTACCGGGGAAAAAAAAAAAAAAAAAAAAAAAGCCTTTGACAACACTCCTCTGCTGCAGCTTTTTTGGATAAAAACAATGAGAAGGAGATCACCACATAGCAACCTTCTCGGGCTGTTAAAAAAAAAAAAAAAAGATCACCACATAGGTGGGTGGTTCTCAGGGGTGGGAGGGATGAGTAGGGAAGGAGTAGGGGGAGCAGGGCATAGGACGGAGGATATAGCAAGCATAGACCAGGAATTGGATTTTGGGATGGAGGCGTTTTGTGAGTAGCTAAAGTGAGCTCTATCTTGGGACTGTCACTGTAGCAAAGAGAGGCCAACAACCGGGGCAGGGGTGAAGTCCAACTTGCACGGATCAGGAGATACCAGCCGTTGATCTTCATTATCTACAGCCGATATCTCAACTCTCAGCAGATCATACCAGACCTTGCCTCCAGAAACATCTCTACACGCAAAAAAAAACAGACAGGTAGGTCCCCATTATGCAAGCCCCTATACCTGATTTAGCAAAGGGGCAGAGATTCCGCAGAGTCGCCTTTGTGTTTAAATTTTTGTTTTTTTCTTTCTGTTGAAAACCGTCCAGCCTTGCAGAACCTACTATGGAATTCTTGAGGATAAGGGAAACCCCATTTAATATCAGAGATGGATCAAAAGGAGCTCCCTGCAGCCTTGGAATGAGCTTGTCCGGAGTGCCTTGATCATTTCGCCAGGTGCTGTCCCCTTTTTTCCTCCTGTGTAAGGGACTCTGGGCCTTGTTTCCGCCAGATTGTGTAATTCAGCCTTGGGCACAAGGCCCGTTTGTTCCCCCCCACCCACCCCAACCAACCCAAAAAAAAAAAAAAAAAAAAAAAAAAAAAAAAAAACAGGAGCTCCCCCCCCCACGGCATTGCCTACCTCTCAGTTGGTATACCCATGCCGGTTGAAATGTAGTCCTGAAAAAAAAAAAAAAAAAAAAAAAAAGTATACCTCAGTTCAAAACTTCAAATCCAAAAGAAGAAAAGAAAAGATCTCTGGAAGTATCCTTCTCGTTGAAGAATTCCCTTGCTATTACAGCGAGCTCCATTTTTCGCTTGTCCTTTTTTATTCGCTTTTTGGTTCTTCTTCTTTTTTAGGAATAGCGAGCTCCAAAAAAAAAAAAAAAGCCCTATGGTCTTCACAAATTGACTAATTTTAGCCAACACTAGAGGTTGTCAATATCCCTTTGTCTCTTGGGCGCTTCTGGCCAGCCGTCATCAGGGGACAGTCACTGTAGCAGAGCGCCTCCGGGACAGTGGACACAAGACAGGGCATCCCTTTGCGAGTCTTGAAAGAAGAATAAAAGCAAAAAAATTAAAAATTAAAAATTAAAAAATCATGAAGGTCGTCGACCACACAGGGTTTTGTAGCCTTGCCCTGTGGAGGAGGGATCACCTATCAGGAAAAAGCAAAAAAGGGATAATCGGTATTAGGGGCTCGTTCGACACTCCCTGGGGCGTCCTCGGAGCCCGAGGAAAATTTCCTTTTAGTCAAAAGGAAATTTGGGCCCTTCGTTCCACCTGTCCTCGGGGACGTCGCCCGAGGACGTTTCCTTGGAGCCATGTCAGAAAARAAAAAAGGAAAAAAAAAAAAAAAAAGTGCTTATGGCCTTCAGCCAATAGGGTGCCGCCACGATCCAGATTCTCGGTTGTAACGTCTCTCTACGCGTTTGCCCGCTCCTCTCCGTGAAACGCGGATTCCTTTTGTCCAAGGGACCTCGTGAGGTCCCTTGGGAAAAAGGGAGAAATGGCTGGGGAATCCTCGGAGCCCGAGGAATTTCCTTTGGAGTGTTTTCACTTTTTTTTTTCCGACTGCAACCCCGAGGATAAGTGGAACGAACAATTCCTCGGGGACTTTACGCGCCCGAGGAGTGTCGAACGAGCCCCTTAATCACCCATCAAGAAGGGTGCAGTGTATTCGTGGGGAGCATCTTGTGCCGCAGCGAAGCGCACTCAGCGCCCCATACAGGATAAGCATTGGTGTCAAACTGACGGATAGTGTGTGCGCCGCACACTAAATTATTATGGCACACCAAATGGCCTAACACACATGAACTTTTAAAGTGCAGACCTGAGTTCGAATTTGAATGGATTCAGTCTCATTTCGATGATTGAAAATTAGGTCTAAATCTACTTGAGGCAGGTCAATTCAGAAAGAGGAGGAGCAGACTGAGTTAACCAGAGAATACCACCTCAGCTACAATGGGGCTCGTTCGACACTCCTCGGGCGCGTAAAATCCCCGAGGAAATCATCGTTCCACTTAGGGGCTCGTTCAAATCTCCTCGGGCCGTCCTCGGGGCCCGAGGAAATTCTACCGTCGTCGCACGAGGAAATTCGCACCGTCGTTCCACTCATCCTCGAGGACGATTCCTCGGGGCCTTCTGCTTCCAGCTTCATATATCGACAAGCGAACACGGGGGGGGGGGGGGGGAGGTTGGTCCAGCAAGGTGTGTCCGTGCCGACGTCGTTGGTCCAGCTCGGGCGGGCGTCGCGAATTCAAAAGTTGGCAGCGGAAAAACAAATGGCATGAAAAAGGCGCGCAGTCCGAAGTTAAAAATTCGAAATTCGAATTTCCGCAAGCGACTGATGGCGACGTGGGCGTCCCTTGCAGCTGACGGCAGCAACGTTCCTCCGCGGAAGCGTTTCGGTACGGGGTGGCGGCTGCGTGTCGGAGGGCACGGCGAACGTACATGTACTCGTCCGAAGCAGCAGACACGTCGTCACACGATCGTCATCGTTGTCGTCTTCGCAGGCGAGCTTGATAGTCGACGTGTACATTGTGCACTCAGGTCGTCACTCGCAGCAGCACTGTTGTGCGGCCCGCCACACGTGGAGTCTTTTGCACTTGGCGACCCCCACATCGACAGTACGAGTTTCGGCGATGGCCATGAACGGGGGGCCGGGACGTGACTCACTGAGCAAGGCGGAGAGGACGGCGGTGGCAGCGGCCGTGAACGCCATCCTCTTCCGATGTCAATTGCAGAGGGGCGAGGGGAGGATGAGAGCGGCCATTCGCGCACGGCGGAAGAGGACGCTGCAGTCCACGAATGTGAAGGGGGAGGACAATGGTGCCATTTGCGACGTCGTGCTGCAGGTGTGCTACGCCATGGGGTGTGCAGCATTCCCCAAAGCGACGCCCATGAAGCGACGGACAGGCGGGACGTGGGAGGATCTTCGGCAATGCGACGACGCGACGGTGGACTACTTCAAGGACAAGCTGCGCATGTCGCCACGTGTGTTCCAAGAGATCACAGAAGCTTTGTCTCCCTTCCTTGAACGGCGTGTCACTTTCTATAGGGAGTCCTCCAGCCTGACCACATTGTCGCGTACGCTTTGTACAGGTGGGCCTCGTGGGAGACGTATGAGAGCGGGACATGCAGCTTCGGCATTGGCAGATCTTCCGGGTCGGTGGTTGTGCGGGATGTAACTGCGGTGTTGCTGAGTGCGTACCCCGACAAGATATCCTGGCCGACGGGTCTGCAGAAGGCGGTCGTCTTGCGCGCTTTCATTGACAAGGGTTTCCCTAGCTGCCATGGGTGCATCGACTGCACCCACATCTTCATCGACAAACCAGCGAATTGCCGCAGGGAGGACTACTACGATAGAAAACGCCGTTTCTCCATCCAGGCGCAGGTCGTTGTCGATTTGAACTTGCGCGTGTTGGATGTGTTCGTCGGTTATCCGGGAAGTTGCCATGACGTGAGGATCGTCCACCTGTCCAGTTTATGGGCGCGCGAGGAGGCAGGGGAGCTTTTCACTGGGCCACCTGTCATGCTGCCTTTCGGTGTGCGGACGAACGGCTATCTGCTGGGGGACAACGGTTATCCGCCCTCCGAATGGGTAGTCGTTCCCTACAGCGGTCTCTCACAAACCTCGTCGAAGTTGCGCTTCGACAACAAGCAGAAGACGGCGAGGGGAGTAGTTGAGAGGGCTTTCGGCCGACTGAAGGGGATGTGGAGGTTGTTCCTTCGCTCCCACAAGACGAACATGGAGACGTTGCCGCGGCAGTTCGTCGCCGTCTCCATTTTGCACAATATACTCATCGACGGGGGCATCCCCTTCCACGACAATCTACTATGGGAGGTCGGCCCGGACGGTGTGCGTCGCAGGGTGGATCTTGGGATGGAGCGTCCCTTGAGGCTGATGTGTATGGAGTCGTTGACAGGGGATGCGCTCATTCTACGAAACACATTGGCGGAGCGAATGGGTGCGCAGTGAACACGGCCAGGCGTGCAGAGCGGTCGGCTGCGATGACGTGGCTGTGGTGAAATATCGTAGCGGGCAACGCGGGGAGCAGGCAAGAAATCGAAGCAGACGACGCGGGAGGCAACTTGTCCTTGAAGGCGTGGTCGTCTGAGTTGGGGTCGTCGTGTGTGCGGGGCCGTTTGACGGAATTGGCGAGTTGAAGCAGCGGTGCATGTGAGTTGTCGTGCACGGGGCGGCGTGTGTCGGCAGTTTCTTACCGTTTTGTTTCGCATTGCGCGCCCTTGAGGAGGGTGTCCGCACCTGGGGTTGATGGCGATGGCGCAGTCCAACACGTAGTGGGCGGGGGCAACGTGGCGCGCGTGCATGTGCCGATCGTAGTTGTCGTGTGGTGTGGTGATGTGTAACACTCCGTACGACGTACGGGGGGTTTATCGTATGGTCGTACGTACGGCCATATGAATGGCCGTACGGCCATATGTACAGTCCCGTATGAAAAAAAAGAAAAAAAAAAAAAAAAAGAATCGTTTTGTTTTTTATCTTAAATTTGGTAACGAATTTCAATATAACCTTGAGGCAAAAGTGCTTCAATTTATGTTTCTGCATAACATTTTTTTTTTCCATATTTTTTTGATTTTTGTTTTTTTTTTGTTTTTTTTTCCATACCACATGAGCCCGTACGGCCCGTATTCGTACAGGGGTCTACATAGGTGTGGTGTCACTACGCGTGACATGTTTGGGTGACGTAGTCGAGTCTTCATCGTGTGTTCTGTTTTCCAGAACTTTGGATTGAAGTTGCCTTCAAGGTCTTTATTTTTTGCAAAGTTTGTCTTCATCCACTGTTTTCTTTGTACGAGACACAACAATCTAGTTTCTACTTATCGTGTAAATTATTAATGTTGTGTGGCTTGTCTTCTTCTTTGTGAACGAATGAAAAGTACACAATTGCACGAGGTTGTTGTGTGTTATTTGTAATGCCATCTCTGCTTCCAACATGTGCAATGTCGTGTGTGAACATCCCTCACTTTGTCATTAACCATCGGTTCAAGCAAGCATCCACGACCCCTTTACGTCCCCCTAACCATAACTTTCGTAAATGCAAATGAAAGCGGAACAAAACAGGAAGTGACAACACGACATAGACGTCAACAATATAAATCAACACAATTACATGCTATGTAGGGCCCCCCACGAATACGGGCCGTACGTACGTACGTACGGCCATACGTACGGGCTCATGTGGTCGTACGGGCCCTGCGTACGAAAAAAAAGCAAAAAAGAAAAAATCAAAAAAAAATCTGAAAAAAAAAAATGCTATGCAGAAAAAAAAACTGAAACACTTTTGCCTCAGGGTCATATTGAAATTCGTTACCTGTGTAACACTCCGTACGACGTACGGGGGGTTTATCGTATGGTCGTATGTACAGCCCTGTACAGAAAAAAAAAAAAAAAAAAGGAATCGTTTTGTTTTTTTATCTCAAATTTGGTAACGAATTTCAATATGACCCTGAGGCAAAAGTGTTTCAGTTTAGTTTTCTGCATAACATATTTTGTTTTTCAGATTTTTTT